TATGAGAGTTGATGAACCATATGAAGGAAGTCATTTCATGCGAATTATTTTATTCCAATGGAATCTGCCTTTTCCTTTTCCTCCTCTTCTATGGAAGTGAAGCAAACAATCACTGCATGCAAACAGGGTCAAAAGAAATTGATTCGGTTGTCACTGCATGCATGCAATTCCATATATTTACAAGGTTTTCTCACCCTAGAGACGTCGAGTATGTGTACATTCAGGATCCAATAGCTGCCAAATTAAGCAAAGCGCTTAATTATTTAGCACACAAGCTGACGCACTAATATATTTTAAGGAAAAACTAAGCTTGGGTTCTCACCTGTTTAACCTTTTTATCTTGGACAAAAACAATATCAACTTCAGCATGCTCCAAAATATAGTTTACCGCCCCTGCCCCTATTGGATATATATTTACATAAATCCAATCAAGATCGAAGGAAGGGAGGGTTTTAGGTTAATTTATAATTAAGTGAAATAGGGAAGAAAAAAAAAGTTTGGTTTCAATGAATCAAGTTTTACCAAGGGTATCATATAGAGGTACACAAACGATGCTCTGGGCATTGCAAGCCTATATTCATTCACGTAGTCATCGTTAACATATAATTAATGCATAAACATATCATGTGAAAATTATGAATCTGAGTTGATAACTGACCTCCATTGCTACAATCCATTAAGGGCAATTTGATCCATAAATTCCAAATTTACATCCATGTTATTCACATACAGCTTGTTGTTACAAATCAACACATGTACAAACAAGGATAATTAAAAAATGTGAGAATTCTTCAGACCATGCATAGCAAGTCAGTTTAGAAAATTAATTAGGTGCATATATATAATGCAAATTACATATGTATATGTAACATCACAAAATTCAAGACCAAAAATTTCATTTTTGATATATCTAAAACACTATTGTAACTTTGTTCACACATAGAAAAGCATTTCAAATAAAACATCTATCAGAGTTCGTTCCCAAAAATCATACATTGCAGAAAAACACAGGTGTATGTGTTGCGGTCGTCTCGAGCTCCTTTACTTGAAAATTGGAGGTACCTGAAACCAAAATTGAAAACTGTAAGCACGAGCTTAGTGAGTTCCCCAAATACCACATACCATACATATCAACATACTGCTTAGCATATCTGGGTGATGGTCTACCCATTCGGTCTCTTTCAACTGGATATTATCTAGCATATAAGCACATAAATCACATATTGGCATACATAACCATGATCCATACATATCATTCGTATATCATAATCAAATAATATGATATGTGCCAATACATAGTCTTGCCATTATGCCACGGGCCGACACTTGGTCTTTCTTGCCAAGCCGGGGGCCACCCCCTGGGTCTTACAGACAAGTGCCAAGAGCCACCTCCTGGTCTTCCATGCAAGCATCACAAAGACAACTAGCATACATACTGTTCTACGTAGCCAATTAGCATACAGTGTGCCAGGAGCCACCTCCTGGTCTTTCATACATAATGCCTAGGGCTAACCCCCAGGTCTTCCTACCATACATAATACTCCCTCCGTCCCAATATTATTGTTCACAGACAAAAAAACACACATATTAAGAAAATCATTAATTACCACTAACTTTATTTAATAAAATGACAGTTTTGTCCTTACTTTGCATTTAATGTTCCATTAAATGCTTAGTTGGTTAAGTAATAATGAGGGGGTATTTTGGTAAAAATGTTATTTATTTTTAGAAGTGGACTATTATTTTGGGACAAACCAAAAAGGAAAGATGGACTATAATTTTGGGACGGAGGGAGTAGCATACAATGTGCCAGGAGTCGCCTCCTGGTCTTTCATACATAATGTCTAGGGCTAACCCTCGGGCCTTCCTACAATACATAAAAGATCCGAGTACATGGAACAAACATTACGTAACCTCTATGTGATTGTGTCCTCCTCGATTAATTGGTGAACTTTTCGATATGCTTTGAGGAGTTCTTTGGTGATGATTATGGAGAGCCGGATGCACATTAGAGCGTTATTGACCCCAGTTCTTGCAACTCCGCTTCAAACTCATCTTTTTCCTTTCAAGAACTGAAAATAGTAACATGTTTTTTTTTCTTTTGTCGTTTCGATGTCTCATCGTCTTGTTTGGTGGGTCAGGTATACGAATACTAAAATGGTTGAAATAGCAGTTAATTACCCTTTGACTCACAACCATAAAACTGAAACATCTGATGTATTTAGTATTTACAGTGGATTGACTACCATACCCTTTTCAGGTGGTCATTCGGTCAATGCCCTTCAACTTTCAAGTGGACCTAATTTTTTGTTAAGTAAATAGCCTTTGCCTTCTCCATGAAGGGCGATTTGGGAAGAAGGAATTTCCGGTTTTCCAATTTTTGTTGGGTCGTCATTGCGTGCAAAAAAATTTAAGTGTAAGAAATTGATATATCTACCAACAACTTTATTCATATAATAACCATGTAAATTTGTGGTAAAACCCCATTCAAAATCATTATGGACTATATTCTTCTTTATCCCACCATTAAGTACAATTCTTGATAGATGGTCATTACAACTGAAATAAAATTATAATCGATGCCTATTTTTAATTTGTTGTAATGATTTTTGTCCCTCAGGTAAGGTTGTTTAAAAAAATATGTTTAATAGTTTTACCTTGCAATTTTAGTGTTTATAGGTAGAATATAATGTGATTAGCGTGGTTATGGTGGATAACTACTATGTCAAATTCACAGAAATCATTCAATTCTATGGTGGTATGTAATATTTTTTTTCAAAAGCAATTTAATATTAGTGATAACATATATAGAAGAGTGCAGATCATATAGCAAAACATCTTCAGTTATAAACATAAGTCAAATATAAAACCAAAAAAACCCAAAAAGGGGAAAAAAAGTTACCTAAGTAACCGACAGTTGTGATGATAAACCGTAGACCTGTTATGAAGACCAGAAGAAGTTGTTAGTTTATGTTCTGTTTATACTTTTATTTGAATCACCAACAGACTAAGATTAGCACATGAAATAGGAAATGTTCCAATAATTAAAGTGGAAGGTCTAGATAACGGTAGCAAAAGAAGTCACATTTTATTTCAAGCAAAGAATTAAAAATGTATTACCTCAGTTCCTGGAAACAACTTGAAGAAATACAACACCACATTGTAATTTCATTTTGTCTTCTTATGATCGTTCACTTAAACGTACACCTGAAAAAGACATTTAAATTTGAAGAAATTACTCATAAAAACCATATTACGTCATTATACCTTTTTACTATAGCTAAGTACTTTTAATTTTCTCATATTAGGGCCTTGTACTTTCGGGAATCAACCCAGATACAGATTTTGTCATCCATTCCTCCAGTAAACATGTCAGCAATAACGATCATTTTCAAAAAACAGAGGAAAATGATGACTACATGCTACATTTTTCAAGTAAAAAAAGCAAAAATGCACTATTTCTAAAGAAGAAATTTTTTTGTTTTTTCCTGCATTTTCTAGGAAAATATTACATATGAACACGCAGTAATGATTATTAAGAAAGAAAGCAAACAAAGATTGTTTAAAAACCTGAATGAACTCATTGTACAAAAGAACTACTGCTGTGACACTCCAGACGATTCAAATGCTCATGTTTGCATTTTTACAAATAGTAATGGTACCGAAAGTTACACCGGCGAGTTTGGTCTTCCCCAAATTTGTAATTACAAATAATAGTGGGTTACCAACCAAAATCTGAATCCATTGATAGCACACCTACCAAGCCTTTGGACCTGCAAATTTTCAAAAAACTCTAGTTTTGTTTGTTATGTATTCAAGAATTTATAAATATTTCTTTATATTGTTTGGTGAATGGTGATAGCTATATTCCAGAGCTAACTCAGTACGTGTTGTGTTGATTGATCGCTTTCCATTGTGATGACACCTTTTTCGGGCACATTCTGACCTGAAATTTCACCATATTTTATCTCAGAATCCAAAAAATCTTAATAAAAAATATTAAAAAAAAAAAAAAAAAAAGATTCACCTATTGAAAGTTTTGGCTTGGGGTTAATGCAAAAAAAAACGGATTTCGGAATGATCATCGATTGTATCTGAACACAACCTCTCAGATTGATCAAAGAATAAAAATTTGTTCTTTTTTTCTTTTTAAGGTGCATTTGTTTTAAACAAATGAAAATTGATCATAAGAGAACAGAACTTGAATAAAAATTGCAATTGACCATTTTTTATAAATATTTGTTTTTAATATGGCTGGAATCGAGATCCCAAATGAAAATGGTACCTTTATTACCAGTATTTGTTTCTCCATTTCGAGATCTTACTAAAAAATAAATTGCAGATAGTGCAAATCGCTACATTAGTGCATTCCTTAAAATCCAACCAACCAATTTTTCTATCTTTTCAGTCTCATTTCTCATTTTTCAGTAGGCAAATAAATCAGTAGGCAAATATATGAACCTAATAAAAGTATACAATGTAAAACACCAAATAGCACAAAAATAATGATCTACCATGCGAGTTCTGTTTTTGCACCTCTGTCACTTTATCCTTATACATAAAACCCAAGTTGTAAGACTTTTCCTTATTAATAGTATCCTTATTCATAAAATCCAAGTTTATCAAAGAAAAGTAACCTACCAAATCTGTTTTTGCACCTCTGTCACCTTATCCGTTGGTAAAATCCCAACCATAAAAAGTAACTTTCCAAGAATCCGAGCTACCATAGTTTTACCTATATACAATACAATTTGGAAATTACAATTTTGCCCCCACAATCCCAAATTACAAATAGAAGGTTGTTGAAGGTATATAAGTAATTTTATCAGTGCAAAACCACATGATACACGAATATACATGTGAAACATGAGATTTACAAAGTAAAAGCGATATATATATATATATATATATATATATATATATATATATATATTATTTTCAATTAAATCTGGAAACTTTATAAAAAAATAATAATAATAATAATAAGTAAGGGAGCAGAGCTATTTTTGATGGCTGAGAAATTCTTTCATGTGTGCATAAATTTCAGTCTTGACTATAAGTTGAATCTTTTTGGAGTCTTCGCATAGCAAACTGCTGTATTCTCTTGCAAAGTCGCATGCTGCTTCAAACACATCCTACAAACAAAGAATGAGTTAAATAGCAATGTAGTTTTGTTTATTTATATTTTTTTACAGCATCCTACTTTTAAAATAAATGAAAGTATTTTGTTACCCTTGATGGGAAATCATCGAAGAAATATGCAGGCGTCATCTCTACCCTGTTTAGATCTGATTCCCACAACCTTATATGTTGTTGTTTATCAAATACTAAATATCTACCCCAAGTATAGTAACATGTTTTTATTTTTATTTATTTTTTATGTTTGTTTGAAGATAATGGGAAATTAAGAGCAACCTGGTCTGTGACATTTTCAGGTACAGATGGCACTTTTTCTACAACACGAGGATGAGCATTCTGCTGAAGAAATGAAATTATCTGCAAATCAAGAAACAAGAAGAAATATTAGTTACTTTTTTTTAATAGGGTCAAATGCAAGAAAAAGCAAATTTCATTACTATACTTGGGTAGATATTTCTAAGTAAAATTTCCTAATACGGAAAGAAAAATATTATAATTGGTAGATTTTCTAGGTGTAAATAAAAGAGAAAAAGTAGGACTGTGTAATTCAGAAATAAATGAAAGTTTTTTTTTTGTATTTGGATAGTTGATGCTTGCCTGGTCTGCTGTAATGGCATTTTGAAAAGGTTTTGTAGAGGTTCTCTTTTGTAATGGATCCAACAATCAGGTTAGGAAGTTGATATTCTACCATGTGCAAGTTATACATAAAAAAATGAGACACAAAATTACCATATTAACCCTCTGTCTATTTGTAGAAACTTATTGGTTTTACAAAATTTATGGTGTGATAAAAATAACCACCATATTAAGTAACTACTAACAACTAAGAAAGAGAACAAAAAGTAACAACTCACCAAAAAATAAAAATCATTTTAAGAATCCAAATTAGAAATCAACTAAACAATAACATATAGTAATAGTAGATATTTAGTATATCAACTAAGAAAGAGGTTATTTTGGGAACTTTGGCAAATAGAACATGCAGAAAATATAAACAAATAAAAAGTCATGGATTACCTGACAAAAAGTCTCAAGATTTCACAATGCAACTTAGAGGTGGAGTAGGCATATACCCTGAAGTTAGTTTCCACAACAACAAATCCCTACCACAAACACAAACTCACCTCACTAAAATCATAATTCTTTTGAACATCATCAAAATATGCAAACAACCCTTTTATTCCAAAATGCAAATTAACATATTCGAATTTTGTAACCAGATCAACAAACAATATCAACTTAGAGATACGGTAGGTACCTGTTTCCTTGATGGTGCATCTGACAAGCTAATAGAGAGATTAGTAGCCAATTTTGTAGGAATGAACCAACTATCTTTCCTCCCCTACAGAAAAAAGAAGATACCAATTAGCCAATTATATGCTGTCAGAATTAAACTACTTCAAAGTATAATTATATATGCAAGAAATAGCAATGTACTACCAGTTATATGTAATTTCATCTTTTTTCTTATTCAGCCCTTATACTTTGAAAATCTACCAAAAATTGTAACATTCTACTTTTTTATTTTTTCTTTCTTATTAGGACATTGTAGTTTAAAGAAATTTATAGCAGTGAAAAATGTTTTGTATTTGGACGACATTGCTATAATTGGGTAGATTTTTCAAAGTACAATACTGTAAAAGGAAGAAATGAAAAACAAAAGGAAATTGCATTTAACCCTTACAAAATATGGTAAAAAGAATGGAGTAGCATTCACCTGCTGGAGTTTGATGAATCCCAAGTCTGCAAGATCTTTAACTGTTATCCTTTGTATCTCATCTAAAGTGTTCATATTATATGCCTGTTTTTGTTTTCAAATTAAAATATCAGCCTCAATAGGGAAGCATGTATTTACTATTTACTTGTGAAATTTTAGTGTTAAAAGGATATTTGAGTATCTGTAAGGAGGGACGAAATGTTGGGAATCGAAATTTTAAGATGGAAAGTAGAAATCCATTGGTCAAAGAATTTGTGAATTCCAATTGATTTCAATTCTGTACTACTCCACAAACACGGGATTGGAATGGAATTGAATTCCAATTCCGGCAAAAACAAAATCCTCCTTTATTACATTAAAAAATCACATTTATGCTTTAAAATATATATTAAGTCAAAAATTGATACCTCGCCAGTAACATGAAAGCTAAGTTCTAGCAGAAATGAGATCAGATCTGCAGAGTCCACTCCTCTGTCCTGTTCATACAAAGTTCAAAAAGGACTCAAAATATAAGTATTTAGAGAATATAGAAAAATTACAGATGCAAAAAAAATATGAATAAATCCATAGTCACATAGAAAGTTGAATGTATGTATAAATTTACAATAATACCCCTATCAATGCTATAATAAAGACACCAACGAAAGTAGAGTGTTGTTTTTTATATTTAATCATTTTGCATTTAATGAAATGAAATTTTATTGTTGTAAAAATGTAGCATATAACATAGTGTGTGTATTATCGGCAATCGTAATTTGAAATGAATATTTTTTCTTATGTTTCGCTAATATACATTGAGAATTGTGGATGTGTATTATCATCAATCTGAAAGTAAAATATTATTTCTTAAATTTCCTGAAAAACAATGAAACAACTTAAAGGTTGTTCGTAATGTTCTTTGAGAACTATTTAGGGGTATTATTGTCATTATGAAAGTAGAATGTTAATTCTTACTTTTAGCTATTTTATATCATTCTAAATTGACGACAATAACCCTAAAAAATGATGAAAGTAACTGCGATAACATATTAGATGTCAATAAAAAATATGAAAGTACAATGATAGGGGTATTATCGTAAATTTCAAATGAATATTGTTTAGTTGGTTTTTTGTAATTTACTTTTCAGAAAAAGCCCCATGAACAGACACAAAACAACACCACCAAATCAATAATGGAAATATTAACAATTTGAACCTGTAAATATTCAACTGTTGAATCGTGTTGTTGTAACTGTAATTTATGCTCTTGCACTTGGTTCATGAGTTGACCAACTTGACTTTTCATATCATTATTTTCATCCTTCTCTGTTTTATGTTTTTCAGCAAGAATAATATTTTCTGCATGTATCAAATCAATAAAGAAAAATATTACCAAATGAGAAACTTTATACATAATGATAAATGAAAATACATTTTTTAAAAGTCAGAAACCTTCAAATCTAACTGTAGTGCAAAAGTAACTTTCCAAGATTTTTGAACTTCATTGAATAGTAACACACACCGATCCTTTGCAACTTTAAGTGCTTGTTTTAGTCCCACAACATCATCCTGTTTCCGATCAATACTTTCTTTTTCTTTTTCATAAAACTCCGTGTGAGCATCATTTTCCTATATTAAAGAACACAAATTATGCCCCACAATATAAAAGAAAATAGAGAAGACAAGGGCAAAATAATCATTTCTACAAACTTACAACAAATTAAAAAAAAAACACATTTGATGGACCTGAGAAATTAAAAAACACAAAAAGAAGTAACTGGTCTTGAAAATGTTTGTAAAAACGAATAAGTATTTCAACAAACAGTTCTTATACAAAAATCGAAAATAAAAACGAATAAGTATTTCATGATTCAAAACCTATAGATAATACAACCAATTAGAATTTAAGGTAGATATAGATCCAATCAGCTCATAATAACCACAACGGACTTAATTTGTAAACATCTTAAAGAAGATAAATATTTGAGAGTGATTTAAGTGTGAATAAAATCACATCCCCAATATGTCATGTTCATTAAACCAAAAGTTTTCTGCATGTTCCAAACTTTAAAGAGGTAAACCAAGTAAGCCAATTTAAATTACCACACAATCGAACTGGAATTAATTATCTCAGCATTGAAGATGTTAATTTCATTGAATCATAATAGGACACATATGAGACTACCACCTCCTATTCTTTAACGCTACTCCCTAAATAGTTGAAACTTGTATTAATTTAAATAGGCTAAGAAAATACTATAACTCTTTGATTTTTTTGCAAGAGTAATAACAGAACAACACATTTTGTCCAACGTGTGCAAGGATTAGTTGTCTAGATAATTTCCAATCAGAATAACAATAAAACTAAAATGGAGGAAAGGAGTAAGATATGTAGCTTTCAATGGAATTTATTATTTATAAAACAACTTTAGCTTTTGGATGATCAGTTTTCTGTTATTGATGCACTTACAACTTTTATCGAGACCTCTGAGGCATTTCATCGAATGGGTGGTGAGCAGAAGCTGCAAATTTCCACTCACACCTAAATCAATGGTTTCTTTGAGCCCAAAGGGGTTAATCGATTCAAGAAATAAAAGCGTGTTAAATCCAATTGAAGAGCTTACCCAGACGGATTTCTCAGGAGGATTCCAAGTTACAATTGGGGAGATGGTTTTGCAATACGCTACAATCATCCATACGATCAAAAATGAGTTTGAAGATGAGTAAGCATTCTTCGGATTTACTTTTCAGCAAGAAAATCAACTCAAAGATGAGAAAATTATAACCTTCTGTCCAAGCCAATCAGAGCGCTCTAAATCCATAGTCACATAGAAAAATTTTCAATAGCAAGAGTTCATTTAATTCTCGAATGATCGTACAGATCGTCTATAGGGTGAGGGAAAGGAGTAGGTTCTCAACAACAGTGTCTCCGGCTAGAGTTTTACTGGGAGTCGATCATACTGTTGAGAGGGAAGAAGTTTTAGGTAAGCAAGTGAGGGTTAACGGGGAAGGGATGGTAGGTTACCTTCTAGTAGGTTGTAGTGGTGGCGTACGGAGGGTGGTGGTAACAAACGACTGCCGGAGACTCAAGAGAGAAAGGGAAAAGACATAACAGATATGATTTGACGACGTTTGATGGTGTGTAGAGGAGATTAGGGTTTTCAAGATGTATAAGGTAAGACTGTAAGTTACAATTAGACGTGCGTGTATATTTTGTTCAAGGTGACGTCATGAAACAGATCGAAGGCTAGAAAAATTAGTATTGAAATCCAATCAAAGGCCCTGGTTGCTTCATTGATGAATTAAAGGTTCTCTTTTAATAATATTTAGAGATTATATTATTATTGTTATTATTTATTAACTTACCGTTTACATCTATATAATATATTTTATTTACTTAATTCACTTGAAAAAACTACAACATAAATCCCTAATAATATAATTGATCAGTTTATTTGTTAGCACTAGTTCAAGATCATCAAATGGAAACAGGCGTTACAATTCTCCCCCGCTTAAACTGGATTTCGTCCTCGAAATCGCTCCTTACTAACACTTATATCGAAACAACAATTTGAGGAACGCAACCGAAGATTCTGCGCATAGGACAACCTTCTCGAGACAACTAAAACCCCAACCAAAATTCTATCCCGTAGAAAAACAAACCCTAAGCTCCCGCAAAGCCACTACTACTTTTCCCAGACCTGAAATCTGCATTGGTCTGACTTCCTGACACACCGCCCATGTCGTAACATTACCAAACCAAACCTTTTACCAAGTAGCAGACCAAACATACACTTCTAACCCTGATCATCTTGACGCGACTTACGAAAAACAAGCCACTGACCTAAACCAGTTGCAGAAAACTTATACTTGACAGAAGGCTCAGATAATCCTTCGACTGGAAGATTCATCCCTGCAACGGTTAGACTCAGACGAGAGCTGCGCAACCAGGTCAAATCAATTACTTTGAGATTATTTAATCCCACTGTAAGTGGCTGGGTATCTCCCGGTCAACTAGCTGCTCTACATAAAGATCCCAAATTACTGCCGCTAACCGAAATACCGGATTCCTACCCGGTTGCTGAGCCAAAGAGCAACCTCACAGTAGCTCCCTGCGACTTCCGAATAGAACTTCGTCTTTTGAAATCTTCCCTAACCATATTGCCACTCATGGCTCCATTATTCCTTCTGGTCTTCCCAATCATAACAGTCCAACTACCTGTCGCCACCGAATCTAATACAAAAAGTGAATGCTACCAGAACCACCGTAGTCTTACATCACGCCTGGTCTCCAACGACCTACCATTTCCCGAATCTGATCGTACTGTGGCCTACTCATATTTGTGCGGGCTGACCCGCCTCGGCCTAAACTATCTAAAGGAATCCGTGAGTGAATCACAAATCTGTCACATTCTCACTGCCGAATAGGGACCGGTGAATGCTACGGTCCACCCCGCAGTCTTACAACACTCCCATACCAACTGACCACTAGTGAATGCTACGGGCCACCCCTGCAGTCTTACTATACCACTATACTAACGGCTAACGAACGAATGCTACGGGCCACCCCCGCAGTCTTACAACGTTTCTACTCTATCTGCCAACTAGTGAATGTTACGGGCCACCCCGCAGTCTTACAACACTTCTATTCTATCTACCAACTAGTGAATGCTACGAGCCACCCCGCAGTCTTACAACACTTCTACTCTATCTGACGACTAATGCTACGGGCCACCACGCAGTCTTACCACATTTCCCACGCTATCTGGCCGCTGGTGAATGCTACGGCTATCCCGCAATCTTACAACACCTTCCACGCTGTCTCATCTACAGACCATGGTCTTACCGCTGATTACCAATACGAACACATCCAAAGTCGAGCACTCACACGGTCTAACATCCCACACTGAAATCATGTCCTGACTGGGATCCTCGACCTGGTTCCCCATGGTCTGCTACACATCAATCAAATGTGGTCCCAAAGTCGGGAAGTTTCCCAAACTTCCAATTCAAATAATCCTCCATTCAGGCAGCCATTATCCCAATTTCACACCTGCTTCTGTCCTGGGTACCTGAATGGTTCTCCCCCACTTCGATCCGACTAAGTCTCCACGACATACGAGAAATGGAAGGATTCCCGATCCTTCCTACCTTCCAATGATAATCGGTGCTTACCAATGCCAGCGACCCATTACTAGGCTAACTTAAAAGACCAAACAGCCCCTGAAGACTAGATGAACACTTTCTGAATTCCAGCAATATTGATAACTCCAGATGCCTTGAAATGATACCGACTCAGATCTTGAATTCCAAATAACCGACGTTTCGAGCAAAACTTCAGTAATAGACCACTTCCATTGGCGACCCATGAGTCAATCTGAGCACAATGACTGAACCCTCTGAATCCTGACGAGGCCGAATAACCATCCTGCGGACCCTGACCGCAGACATTCACACAACGCCCCTGAACCGATCTTGACCATAAACCAAGATAATACTGAACACTCCAAACCCGCAAATAGAGAAATAACCTTTCGTTAACCACTAGTAATTCATGGCATGAAAATGGCATATGACATCACTTGAAGATACAACCCAAACACAAGCATGGAAACAAACCCAAAGATACACTTACTCAAACCCTTGGAATAAAAAACTCCATCGTGCAGTTTCCCGCAAGTGCTGCATTGAATCCGGCCATGTTGGCCTCTCAAAAGTTGATCCGAAATCTTGGGTCTCTTCCCAGGACCCTCCAATATATGCACCTGATCTGGTCCCCTCTTCCCAATGTGCTCTAAATCAATCTTCCACTCTCGGGCTCTAGAAATCATATCATTCAGGGTCTCGCACCCTGACACACTCACCAACTAAATCGTCAACGGCTGAATTGCAATAGTTGGAGCAACCTCTGCCCTAAACCGAGCTACAAAATACTCCCACGACATAGTCTCCAATCCCAAAAGCGCAATAGATCGCACAATCAATCATTGCCGCCCGATACAAGAGATCCAAGGCGAACCGAACCTTAGCTCCTAAGGGTAGGTACTAGTGCGGAAAACAATTTCCATCTCCTTAATCCAAAGCGAACTCAAAACCCTGGCAGTCCTTCCACTAACCGGCTCACCATCGGAGCCAGGACCAAACCCTAGTCCTTCCCCCATGTGTGCTCATCCTCATCTGGCAAAGCAGTTATCCCCACTATCAGAGCATAACCAATAATCCCCCTTCCCGTAAGCTTCTTATATTCTCCAAGACTCTCACCGATTCGAGTACGGATCCTGTGCTTCCAGCAGTACGGGCCCAATACTACCTTCCACACCTATCCATACTTTCCTCAGCAATCCTCCTGAATCCTCTAAGTCACTTCTTCAAACCATTATACCAGTAATCATTGAACCATACTACTAACCCGCTACAGCATATCCTAGGCTTTCCTAGGTTCCCGAACCCACCCAGACCTCAGCTGCTGAAGGATTCCCATTAATGTCAACTACCTACCTCATGAATATAGCCACATACAACAGAGATCAGATAATCCTTCGAGTAAAAGACTCATCCCTAGAATGGTTGGACTCAGACGAAAGCTGCGCAATAGGGTCAAATCCATCACTCTGAGATTATCCAGCATGTGCCACATGTGACTTAACATATTTACTTAGTAGCTAACTCACATTGCTAAGAGTCCCACAAAGCACAAAGCAAGCAGCATTCAGACAATGGAAAATCTAACCAACATACTCCAATCAAACCATTCTATTCTCTAATCAGGAGTCTATACTAACATGCAATTCAAAGGCTCATATAATCAGGCATAACCTAAACAAGCCATCTTACCACTGGCTGACCAGTTCTAGCATGCAAATCTACAAGCTCATATAAGCATACGAAGGCATCTCTCCTAGATCCTTAGCTCTAATCTAGCATGCGAATCACATAATCATATCATATCACATAACAAATATGTATTGGTATTTTTGGAACTACTTACTTGAGCTCGGCTGATTGCACGCATCACGCCCCTTGTTCTTTATTAAAACCATTAGTTTTAAATTTTAGAAAAATTATTTTTCTTGTAAAAATCTTTCAAACCCTCGATTTGAGTCCAGACACTCCCGAAGGTGTGTCCGAATCCCTCAAACCAAGGCTCTGATACCAACTTGTAACATCCAAAAATTCATGACCAAAAATTTCATTTTTAATATATCTAAAACACTATTGCAACTTTGTTCACAAATAGAAAAGCATTTCAAATAAAACATTTATCAGAGTTCGTTCCCAGAAATCACACATTGCGGAAAAACACAGGTGTATGCGCTGCGGTCGTCTCGAGCTCCTTTACTTGAAAATTGGAGGTACCTGAAACTAAAACTGAAAATCGTAAGCACGAAACTTAGTGATTTCCCCAAATACCACATACCATACATATCAACATACTGCGTAGCATATCTGGGTGATGGCCTACCCATTCGGTCTCTTTCAACCGGATACTGTCTAGCATATAAGCACATAAATCACATACTGACATACATAACCATGAGCCATACATATCATTCGTATATCATAATCAAATAAGATGTTATGTGCCAATACATAGTCTTGCCATTATGCCACAGGCCGACACTTGGTCTTTCTTGCCAAGTCGGGGGCCACCCCTGGGTCTTACAGACAAGTGCCAAGAGTCACCTCCTGGTCTTCCATGCAAGCATCACAAAGACGACTAGCATACATACTGTTCTACTTAGCCAATTGACATACAGTGTGCCAGGAGCCATCTCCTTGTCTTTCATACATAATGCCTAGGGCTAACCCCAAGGTCTTCCTACCATACATAATAGCATACAGTGTGCCAGGAGCCGCCTCCTGGTCTTTCATACATAATGTCTAGGGCTATCCCCCGGGCCTTCCTACAATACATAAACCAAATGGGCCGGCATTGGTGCCTTCGACCCATACAAATAGTGAGGAGACTCACCTGAAGCAGTTAACACATAATAAAACCACATAGCGGTTAAGATGTATTGCCCAGCCCCTTGAACACCAACAACCCATATCAATAATCTCTATTTAGCTCGAACTTGAAATATTACTTAATAATACTTAATATTATATTATTATTAAATGATTCATTGAAAATAATATACTTCTAAACCCCATCATTAAACATTGACATGCACAAAGCTCGTTTGACTATTAGTTAAATTAATAGTTATATAAATTTGCCAACTCTATAAAAATATAGTTAAACGCAAAAGTATTTCAAATTAGCTTTCATGACATAAATTTGCTTGACCTTTACGAATTCACTAAGCTCCATAAATATCATTTAATCGTATTACACGAATAAGTTTCATAAGCCCATAGTTTATGATCCAAATTAAATTAAGTCCAACTAATTCTTATAAGGAAGCCAATTCATTTAAATCAATTAGTTGCATAAGCCCATACTAGTTTACCCTAATGGATAGCAGCTCTAAAAGGGAAGTAGCTGATGAATACCTCCCACATAGATACGAGAACTCGAGAAGGACCCCTAGTCACTCCGCAGTCGACGCACTTCTTCAATTCCGGCGATATAAACTTCTCCGGCGACAACCCCTCTAGCGTCGCCTAATACGACTACCGCTGGATGCAGGAACCGACCTGCTAGATTTGCCTTCTCGGTTCCCTCTCCCCACTCTTCTCTCTAGCTGAAAAGGTGCTTAAACCTCGCCATTGGAGTTGCTTACAAATTGGACTGTTAACAGATCGCTAGTCACAACCGGTTATCGCATTACCTCTCCACAGATTTGCTTGAGCCTCCCTTCGACTGGAACATAATCTCATCGATAAACTTAGTGTGAACGCCTGGAGTGAATACGATACTCAAAATAGCTTCTAAAACCCACCGGAGACCTGCTGTCGGAAGTCAACTTCACGTGAAACATCCTCCAAAGTCGTCGGGCTTCATATCGCCTACCACCCATTCGTAGCGATGCACTTCCTCTCTCATACCTTAATTATTTGAATGAAATAAATCACATGCTTGCTTACTCCACCGGAGATGATAGCAGTCACGACTGTTAAGGGAGTGAGTCAAAGTTCACAACACAACTACATGATGCAGCCTCTCAAGCGACTCTCTCTCATTCTTAACCCTAATCCATGAAAAGTATGAATATATAAGTGGAAAAAGGGTGTTGGGGTCTTTTGAAGCAATTCAGATTATTGGTGCTAAAATGAGTAAGAAACAACTCCCAGCAGGTGCTGCATCCGATTGGGGAGAAAGAGACAAGCCAAATTCTAAAATTGGCATAATTGGTCCTTAGGGTTTGATCAGATGGCGATTTCTACCCTGATTTAAGATTCTTATGACAAAACAAGTTTTGGAAAATACAATCTAATCCCTGGCCATAAATCTCTTTACATAACAGTTTTTGAGAATGACAGTTTAAACCCTGAATTTACATTTTCTAAGTAATTAAGTACTTTGAATTATTTAAATTATTATATTATTATTAGTATTACTTATTAACTTACCATTTATATCTATATAATATCTTTTATTTACTTAATTCACTTGAAAAACCTACAACATAAATCCCTAATAATAATTGATTAGTTTATTTGTTAGCACTAGTTTAAGATCATTAAATGCAAACAGGCGTTACAGTATAGTTGTAGCATATATATATATATATATATATATATATATATATATATATATATATATATATAGAGAGAGAGAGAGAGAGAGAGAGAGAGAGATTGGACTCGAGAAGCCCTAATGGCATAGACATGCAGAACTTCCTCATATATAGTCTTGTAAGTTTTCCAAACGTTTGGCAAGAAGATTACGGTAAACAGGACCAATAGATTGATCATCACCACCGACACCTTTTCTTTCACATTCCTACACCTTCACAGAAAACTGTTTATGATCACTATTCAGCTTCGGGATCCGGTAAAACAGAAAGAAATAGATAGTTGGGATCGATACCAACAAACCAATTAAATTAAAGAAGGATGACTGAAATGACAAAGAGACGCATGTGTTGTTGGTTGGTATGATGAATTTAAGTAAAGCAAATTAATGCAATTAATCTCATATGGCCTACCTACAGTATTGTCCCATCCTACGTATATACACTAACGCTATATATGCATACATACATATATACATGATTACATGTATATTGCCAACGGGGATATATATATATATATATATATATATATATATATATATATATATATATATATATATATATATATATATATAGACAGAGTTAGGTTCAAATGTTTCTACTATCTGTTGTATGCATGTAGGATTGATTATGGACCAATCATTTTAGTTATTTTAAGAAAGGAATTAATGCATATTAAGTGTTGAAGATTTAATTTGTAACACCCCGACTCTCAGGTATAAACTTTACAGTTTTATTTCCATTGTAAAAGGTCTACTCGACGAGTTGGATGCCCTGCCTCGTCGAGTAGGAACGAATTTGGCCGCGTGTTTTAAGTGACCAACTCGACGAGTTGGAGGATACAACTCGACGAGTTGGAGCTGGAGGATGAAACCCTAATTTCCAGGGTTTTGCACCCTATTTAAAGGGTCATTAGCCTCCCTTACAGCCCCCCTTGAGCCCAGAAACCCTAAATCGTGTTTACTCTCCATATTTGTGTGTTTTTAAGCTTGGAAGGTGGATCTTGGTGAGAAGAACTTGAAGTTCAATAAGCTTGGAACAAGGAAAAGTTGTAGATCTGAACTCTACTCCATCCTAGCATCACATTGAAGGTAACAAGTCGTTACCTTGGCTCTCCATTAGCTAGATCTCTTCATTCATGGGTTTAGAACCCCTTTTGGTGTATGGTTGTGGTATTTCCGGTTTTGGGGACAAGATCTGAGGTTGAAACTTCAGATCTAGACTCCTTTAGCCCCTTAATGTCATAAAGTCTCAGTCTTTGTCAAGCTATTGCCTTCCCTTTGCCTTAAGCTTATTCCTTAGCCTAGTTTTGGCTCTTTAAGACCTTGCATGCACATAAAGTTTGCAACTTTACATGATAACTAGGCCCTAGGAGGCTAGATCTATCAATTGGAGCTTTGGAGTGGCTCAAAATCATCTGGATAAGAAATGGAATGTATGAACTCGACGATTCGGATAAGCCGACTCGACGAGTTGGGAAGGGTTTTCTCGGTGTTTGGTTTCTGCTTGAACTTGGCGAGTCAGTAAGAGGACTCGACGAGTCAGTTAGGGTTTTCCCCGACTTCTGGACGCGCATGGACTCGACGAGTTGGTCGAAAACTCGGCGAGTCAGTGGGGATTTTATGACTTTCTGAGTTCTTAAGGAACTCGAAGAGTTGCTAGCTGCACTCGACGAGTTGGGTCAACATGGACTATTGACTTTGACCGTTGAATTTGGCTTGGACCAAGGGTTGACCAGTTTGACCTCTGGGGGTATTTTGGTAATTTAGGAATTTATGGAAGTAAGTCATCGGTGGATGTAGGTGTTGGATTTGGAGCTGCATTTGATTGAGTTGACTTTATCGATTCGAGTTACTTGTGAGATGAGTTCTCCTCACTATATCAACAGGGTCTAAGGCATCAATGCCGACCCTTATCGGATTTGTATTCGGGTTTATTGCATGATATGCTTATTGATTTACATCCTGGTAGTTAGGATGGTGATATGCTTTGTGACCTGGTTAGGTCGGTATCCTGGTATATAGGACGATGCTATGTTAGTGATCGGTTAGGTCTGTATCCTGTTTATAGGATGTTGCTATGATTGATGATCTGTTAGATCGGTTTGACTGTTATATATGCTAGCGTATGATATTATGTGCACATGTTTATTTGATTGGGGGTTGGGTTGAGGCGGTCCTGCTTTGTGCTGAAGGCCAACATACTCAGGGCGGTCCGGATAGACTACGGGCCCAGGAGGGCATGTTAGTCAGACCAAAGGCCCGACGAGCAGTCCGAATAGGATGTAGGTCCTGTGAGGCGGTCCAGACGTGCCGAAGTCTCGGAGAGCGGTCCAGATAGGCTGAAGGCCTGCGAGGCGGTCCAGTCAGGCTGAAGGCTCATATTGCATGATGTTTGCTTATATGTTATTGATACGTTTTCTGGGGTTGGTATTTTGGGGGTGACTCACTAAGCTTTCGAGCTTACATTTATCGATTATTCTTTCAGGTACCTCTGATGATCGCAGGAAGGCTAAAGCGTGATCGTACAGCTCCTCATATTTCATGATTTTATGATTTGATTCTTGGATACTCTGACATTATACTATTTTGAAAAACAAGTTTTGTAATAATCATGGGTTTTGAAATGTTTTAAAAAGTTTAAATTTGGCATGATTTTTATGAGTGTTACAAGTGTTGGATAAGGTGTCTAAGTCCATAACTATTTCTGGTATGTACTTGACCCGGTTGGCATGGTCCATTTGGGTTGCATGGCATTGCAATACTTGGATAGACTAAAATGAGAGAAAGGACACTTAAGGTTTATTAATATATTATAAGTTCTAATATATTAATAATATTATTTAATTAGTATTGATCAAAAAATTAATTTGGAATTAATTAAGTGATCAAAAAGAGACTAATTAAATATATGAGGTTGATTGTGTAAATCATCTATTCTTGTATAGTGGGCTAATGATCCATGGTTTGTATGGATTGGGTTAAAACCCATAAGGTGATCCATGGATAGTTCATGGAGGTTACAAACCCATGGATCATGGAATATGAAAATCCATGACAATTAGGGTTTACATGGTGTAACCCTACTTGTGCCACAACTATATAAAGACCCCTAGACAAGCAAAATCGGTACTTGTACAAGTAAGTAAGAAGGCTAGCCGATTTTAAGGTGTTAGTGAACTTCTATCAAGGTTATTCCAAGTGTTGGGGTGTTGTGTGAGACATTTGAGGCATCACACTTGAGGTGCTAGGCTCACAAGGTTTTCAAGGAATCCAAACAACAAAAGGTATGTTCTACTTCTAGCATTTATGTTTTAAAAGTTCCCCATGCTATGCTAGATAGGTATGAACCTTGGAAATCAAATTTGCATGTATCATAGTAAAACATAGATCCAAGGTTTCTAGGGTTGCATGTACACCATAAGAGTGTTAGAATGCTCAAATCCCTTCAACAAGTTGGTATCAGAGCCTTGGTTTGAGTGAATTGGAGGAAACACTCGCGTGTCTCCAGTCTCAAACTGAGGACAAGGTTTTAAAATGATTTTTTTAAAAAAAAATGTTTTCAAAATAATAAAGGAGGATGCAAGTGTACGATCAGCCGGAGCTCGCGGATAGACCCCAAAAATACCTTACGGATTATTTGATTTATGTGATATGTTAGAACAGCATGCTAGTACTAGGCTAGGGATCTTCAGGAATTGCATGATAGAACTGCCTGATTATGTGATGCCTGATAGCCTAGGGTTTTCCTTATATGAAACTGACATCATTATTATAGTTGCTTAGTGTATGCATTACGGCTGTACATAATTAAGATCTTATAGCATGAGAATGTTTGGTTTGGCCTTATTTCCTGTTCTTGTTTGATGAAGGGCTTAGGGTAGGATCAGGTATTCGAAAGTCTATAGGGTCCAACGTTATGTATGGCTAGCATACACGAGTGCTGTAGGGTTGGTGGAAGTTTCATGGATGGGTTGTTTGGGATGAGTCTGCCGGTTATGAGATATTTAGCCTTCCTCTAGGAGTGAGGATTGAGCGCATGCCATGCTTATGTATAGTTTTAGGGCATTGTGATGATACTTGAGACAAATATGGGTAGGTGTGGAAGGTAGTATGGGCTCGTACTACTAAAAGCACAGGACCCGTACGCGTAGCAAGGAAGTCACAACCCCTAGGGTTTTGTTGGGAGTTGGTTCCCGGATTGTTATGTGGAATATCTGATATCTTTTTGGTATATTTTTAGCATGGTGGTTACTCGAAGATTTGTGACTGGATCCGGATCAG